CACTGTTGGGGCTGGAGAGATGGCTCAATAGTTAAGAGCACTAGCCAGCTGCTCTTGCAGAGGACCTGGGTTCAGTTCCCAACTCCCACATGACAGCTAACAGTCATCTGTAACTCCAGTTCCAGGGTATCTGATACCCTCTTCTGACCTCCATGGGCATTTCAGGACACAGGTGTTTTTATATGCATGCAATGCAATACACTCATACACATAAAATAAAAATAATAAAAATATTTTTTAAAAATTAGAATTTTGTGCATGCTCAGGCCAGACCCCCTTCTCCATGTAGAAGTCCTTGCTTCATTAATTGAAGCAAGTGAACAGAAGGCTTCCACTAACAGAAGAGGTGATGCTGGCCCCCAGCAGAGGAACAAGGTTTCTGCTTAAGCTAATTGTTGGGCAGACTCACTAGGCTCCTCCCACAGGGGGTGGAAGGATGGCAGCACATCAGAAAGCACAGGTGTGTCCACTCTGACATCTGGGTTCATTCCCTTAAAACATATTCTAAAAAGGACAGTATTACAAACACTGATGACTATTTCAGAAAGTCAGGAAAGAACCCTAGACAGGATCCTCCTCCATGTCTGCTGCTGAAATGACAGTTCCAATTGCCCCTCATAGTATAAGACAGGTAAGCCAAGGCATTCTGGGTGTTCTCTCAACTTTTAAATCCATTGTAGAAATATTTTCCACTATAATAGTCCTTAATTTCTAATGAGCTTTCAAGTTGAGCTGGGCTTATGCTTATAATCTTAGCACTTAAGAGGCTAAAGCCCATAGCATCTTGGAAGTCTGTTTCCCATTTGTAAGTTAGAGACAAGGATGCCAACATCCTAAGATAGTCGTGGGATTCATAACTAGCTCTTAGTACTATGCCTGGCAATATCATTAGCACTTAAAACTTGGTGATCAAGGGCTACAAGATGCAGTTTAGTGGTAGAGTACATGCTCAGCACGTACCAGACTGTGAGTCAGACTCCCCCGACACACACAGTGGTGGTGATGGTAGTGTCATAGCGACTCTCTCTAGGGAGATAACCTATTTGACTGTCCCATTATCTTCCAGGTCTTCCCTGTCCCAGAAATTTGTTGCTACAAATAGTTAACAGCTTGACCCTCAAGATGCTGCCTCAAGGGACCTAGTGACACTGTGCATTCATAAGTTGTAACAATCATTAAAAAACATACCGGGGGGAGGGAGGATATACCCAGGAAAAGGAACAGTCTCATTCAAAAATTGGTCACAAAGCCTGGGAAGGGGGATTGCTAATGCAAGGAGTGGGTTCCTTGGGGCAGGACTTGGTGACCTGGGCACTGGCCGTTGAACATGTTTGGCTGCCGAGGGCCTTTGGATCTTCTGCTTCCAGGGGGCCCTGGAGGGCCTGGAGGGCCTGGGGGACCTGGGGGTCCAGGGAGGCCTTGGTCACCTTTGGCACCTGGAGAGAAAGAAAAGGAGAAACTGATAAAGTGCTTTCCACAGAGGGTTTCCCATGAGGGGAAGGACAAGTGAACAGCTCCAAAGTCCTGCTAAGCTCACCACTTCCCATAGGCGACTTGTGTTTATTCTCTCTCTCTGTTGAGTTGAGCAGCTACCATGTAGGTATCTGTGCCAAGAGTTTTAGAAATCACCCCCTCACATTTTCCAAGTCTCTCTGTGAGGCTCACCACAGGAGACTTCTGACCTTGTTTGCCAAGTCACAAGTGAATGGAGCTGGAGCTCAGCTCCAGTGTCTCTTTGTAGAGTCTGGCTTCTGTTATTACAGTGTCAGTAGATCCCAATTCTGACTGCTATGGTGAAGTCCCTGATTCATAAATGGTATTTGCATGTATTTAATGGATACTTAATGAGTATATTAATAGGATCATTGTGGTTTTAATTGTAGATGGTCTCTAGAATAATACAGTATTTCAATTCTCCTACATCTTCCTCCCCTGTGGAAATCAGCTGTCACCTACTCTTTCTGCCATGTGACTGTGTGGCTGCTGCTCTTCAATCTTTCCCTGACCTTCCCCACAAAATACCAAACACCAACTTTTACCTTAGACTGGAAAATAAGCCACCAAATTTTATTCCAAATTGTTTATCAAGGGCCTTGGATCAGGGCCCTAGGGATGGCTTGACTTGATAGCTGTCCTGTGAGACTTTTTAACAACTTTTTATGTGAGTCTCCTGACAGCAATCCTATGAGATTTTAACAACCTTTTTTTAATTTTTATTTTTTGGTGTTTTTGAGACAGGGTCTCCCTGTAGCCCCAGCTTTCCTGGAATTCGCTATGTAGACCAGGCTGGCCTTGAACTCACAGAGATCCGCTTGCCTCTGCCTCCCAAGTGCTGGGACTACAGGCGTGCACCATCACGCCTGGCTAAGATCTTAACAAACTTTTATGTGGATCTCCTGATAGCTGTCTTATGAAACCTTATCAGCCTATATGTGCACCTCCTGAAAGCTGCCCAATGAGGAATCTTAGGTGGTTTCTTTCTTATCTTGTTCTGGATTGTGCTGGACTTCAGCAGATATTTGGAAAAAGGAAGTTGCCCTCATTTCATTCAATCCAACCATGATTTTTTATTTTGTTTGTATGTTTGTTTGTTTGTTTTTTGGAGGTCTCACTATGTAGTCAAACTTGCAGCAATTTCCTAACTCAGTTTCCCAATGACTGGGGTTACTGTATTCAGTCATCCAACCATGGCTTTTATATCTCAGTTAAATCACTTCTGCTAGACAACAGACCTGAACATGTCTACATGGAAAAATGTGCACAGCTTTGAAAGGACAGAATGCCAAACTGAGCATGGTGGTACACATCTGTAATCCTAGCATTTGAGAGATGGAGGCAGGAAGTTCAAGGCCAGCCTGGGAAATGGGCCTTTGTCTCAGCAAAGCATCAAACATAAACCCCCCAATCAAACAAAAAAGAAAGGATAGAGCTCCAGAACTTTCTGCAGAGCAGAGGGCCAGTGTGGAGCGAAGCCAGAGCAGCCCTTGGACTGGACCAGGCAGGTCTTTGTGCCCATGTGTGAGGAGTGCTTCCACCTACCTGTCAGCAGCACGTCGTTGGACACTTCTCCTTTGTCTCCCTTTTCACCCTTCTGCCCTGGTGGGCCCTCATTTCCAGGTGAACCCAGTTCACCAGGGTCCCCTTTTTCTCCCTTTTCCCCTGGATTTCCTGTGGCTCCGGGTAACCCTGGGGGGGGGGAATGATAATTTATGTCCTATGCAAGAAATTCTTTATTCTTTTTAATTTTTTTAGATTTATTTATTTATTTATTTTTATTATTTATTTAAGCTACCTGATGACTTTATATCTATGTGCAGGTGCCAAGGATCTCAGAAAGTAACTGACTGTGACTAGTAATAATCAGATATATAGAGATTTATTTTTATTTATATGTGTATGAGTGTTTCGCCTGCATGTACGTAAGTGCACCTGTGTTGTGCAGTGCCCAGAGAGGACAGAAGAGGGCATTGGACCAGCTGAAACTGGAGGTTATGAACAATTGTTAGCCACCTTGTGGGTGCTGGGATTCAAACCTGGGTCATCTGTAAGAATAGCCAGTGCTCTTAATCGTCCTGCTGCCATGCCGTCCCTGCTATGATGGGCTGCACACAACTGGAAGCCAAAAACCCCTGCCCCCACTTTTTTGGCCTTAGGTTGATTTTGTCAGATATTTCATTGCAGTAACAAGAAAAGTCACTAATACAGAAAACTGATATGGAGAGGGGGGTAAATTTGTGATGTTTAATATTGATTGTAAGCACTTCCCAGACTCTTGAATCACCTAGGGGACAAACTTCTGGGCATGACCATGAGGGAGTTTCTAGATTGGGTTAACAGAGGTAGGTGGACTCACCCTAAATGTGAGTCGCAATATTCCATGAACTGGGGTCCCAGGCTTCATATAAAGGAAAAAGCAAGCTGAGTACCAGCATGCATTGCTCTGCTTCCTGACTGTGGACACAATGTGACCAGCCACCTCTTGCTCCTGCTGTCATGCCCTTCTGTACCATGATGGATTCTACTTGTAAGCTGTGAGCTGAAATGAATTCTTCTTCTTTAAGTTATTTTTGTCAGGTATTTTGTCACAGCAATGAGAAATGTAATAAATATAAGGCTGACCCAGGTTACTGTAGGGAGGTTGTTCCCACAGCTGGGGAAAGAAGAACCAAATTCTAAGTCAAGGAGCCAAAAGTCAGTTGAGAAGATGGCTAGAATTTTCAAGACAGCACATCAGAGGATAAGGCTGGGTAGTATGAATATTAAAGGCAAATTATGATGAAAGTAACATTGAAAGAGCTTTTCAAGACAATGTCTGAAGAGCACTGGAGGATGGAACTTAGGCACGATTGCAGCTGCTGCCTTGAAATGGACCTTTGTTCACCTCTACCCTTCAATTCAAAGGCAGTAACATCACACTCGGAGGTTTCAGGGAAGCCTGGACTACACAGGGAGATCCTGTCTCAAAATAAAATCAGACAAGACGAAACAAGCGATCACAGGACTCTTGCTTCATGGGCATTACCATTCTGCCTATGCGTTCTTTATGTCTATTAGCTCCTGCTCTTAAGGCTCAGCAGTTTGCACAAGTGCCCACCCTTTGTCTTCCTTAAACACTGGTTCATAGCTGGCTGAATCTGTATTTCCCAATCTGCAATCCCTAAGATACCAAGTAAAGTCCTTGGACTTTTACAGTTTCTGAGTTTAGATTGACTGACAGTGGAAAGAGCTCTGGAGATCTGGCCAGGCTTCCCTTGAGTCTTTGAATGATGATCCATATAGGGTGGAACATCACAGATGGTTCACTGCATAATTCTCAGAGACACCATATCTGTATTAAAGACCCTGAAGACTGTTTCAACCTTGCCTGAGTAGAACCTCGTGATTATAGAGAGATGGGATGTTTCATATCAAGAATCAAATCTTGGGCTATCTTAGGCCCGTTAAAACACAGCCTTTTATTGTTTAGATCTGACCTAATAGTTTCATGTCTGTTAAGTGAATGTCTTGGAATGTATTGTTAATCTCTGTCCTCCACTGAATGCCATAGGATAACATCTAAAACCTATAGAAAAGGTTCTCCTCTTGGTTATTGCCTGTCTATCTGAGGCCTTCGCTAGTGTATTTGTTGAAGGCATTGATTCAGTTCTTAGATTATTTTCTTAGGTATTGGTCATAAAAGTGTTCAGAACATCTGTCACTTCAGAACACACGATTTAAGGGTAATTTGAATCTGCATTCCTGGATTATGGTCACTCATTTTTTAAATAAACATTTAAAAATTTTACTTTAAAGCAGAATTCTTGTTTGATATTAACTGGAATCTCAGGTGGAGGCCTTGGAAAAAGCTTGGCCTAGCAGTGTTAGATAAAGGTAGCCATGGACCCACAGTTAAACCCTTAAAAACAAACCAACAATAAGAAAATAAAAGCTTGGAGAGATAAGAATGACTTGCAAGCAGTTTAACTGCCTGACATGATAGACTCTGTAATTTGGATCATTTGGTCAATTTAATTGAGTATATTAATAATTTAAGCAAGAAAAAAGCATATCTCAGTGGATGCAAAAACAGGCATTTGATAAAATTCAACATCCATTCTTAGTGAAAACTCTCATCAAACTAGGATTAAAAAGGAATTTCCTTAATCTGGCCAAGAGAATCTGGAGAAACTGACAGTTGGCTTCTTTGCCAGTGAAAGACTAAAGCTTTCTCCCTAATATCAGGATCAAGACAAGGGTATGTCCTCTCATAAATTTTATTTAACATTCTACTGAAGGTAGAAAGCTGTGCAATAATCCAGGGAAAAGAAAGAAGGCACACTGATTAGAAGGTATATATTAAAAGAAGAAAACCTCAAGAAATCTATTAAAAGGGCTATTAGAAGTCACAAGTATGCAGGATTCTAGGGTTCTGAGAGGAACAGTGGTTGCTTAACATTGCACAAAGACATTTCTAGATAGGGATCATACCTAAGCCTCTTTATTTCAAGAAATAATTGCTCATTTTGATAAGCTAAAGATACTTCTTAACTGTGATTCAACTCAAAGTGAGATTGCAGGCACCAGGGAAGAGCTAGAGGCATGTCTTAGTACAAGCAAAACTATTTCTCTTGGCAAGCCTTTAATCCCAGCACTCTGGAGGCAGAGGCAGGTGGATCTCTGAGTTCAAGCCCAACTTGGTCTACATATCAAGTTCCAGGCCAACCAGGGCTACAAACAAAACAAAACAATAAAACTAAACCTCTCAACGTCTATAACCAAGACGACTTGGATCTTTTGTCTTTTGTAATTGTCTGCCAGTTCCTGGGCCCCTTATTTAGGCCCAGTTTCAAAACTAACTTCCCAGTTATCTCTACCCTTAGTCCCCATTAATTTGACCAATCCCCAATTCCTAGCTGTAGTCTGGAACTGCAAATGTCTTTCCTCCAGATCTTTCCTTCCCTTCCCCCCTCCCTCCCTCCCTCCCTTCCTCCCTCCTTTTTTTTTTTTTTTTTGATAAGATCTCATTATATAGCCCAGGTTGGCCTCAAACTCACAGCAATCCTCCTGCCTCCATCTCTTGAATGCTGAGATTACAGGCATGCGCAATCACGCTGGTTTATATGGTTCTGCAGATTAAACCCAGGGCTTTGTGCAAGCTGCAGAAGTACTCTTCCAACTGAGTCACATTTCCAGCCTGTCTTCTAGTTTTAAAACCATATCTGGACCATCCTATCTCCTGCCTGCCATGTTGCAACTAAACATAGATGTTCCAAGGAAATAATCCTGGACTGGAAGGCACCTGAGAGGTCATTTAGATCAACTTCCCACCCGATTCCTGAGTCTTTCTGACAGATAGCTATTTGGCTTTTCTCAAGTCCTTTTGGTGACAGGGAGGTTTTCACTTCCCAGTACATTATGGTGGCTGGGGCTGTAAGGCTAGTGGTAGAATACTTGCGAGCATGATCGTGGCCATGGGTTCAATCCCAAGTATTTTAAAAAAGCAGTCAACAAAATAATATTTGCCAGATTTCAGCCAATCATAACGCTGGTCCCTTCTATCACTACACCACAAGGCATCCCTTTGTCAATATTTTTAAAATATTTTATTTATTGGGGCTGGAGAGATGGCTCAGTGGTTAAGTACACTGCTCTTGCAGAAGACCTGGGTTCGAATCCCAGCACCCACATGGCAGATAACTGTCTGTAACTCCAGGGGATCCAACAGCCTCTTCTGTCCTCTGCAGGTATTACATAATATGGGTGCACTTACCTACATGCAGGCAATACAAGCATACACATAAAATAAAAATAAGTAAAATTTTATTTATTAATTTTATTTTCTGTATATGAATGAATTGTCTGTGTGTGTGTATTGTGCAATGCCTGAGGAGGTCAGAAGAGGGTGTCAGATCCCCTGGAATTGGGATTACAGACAGTTGTCAGCTACCATGTGGGTATTGGGAATGGAATCCAGGTCCTCTGCAAGAGCAGCCAGCCCTCTTAACCGCTGAGCCATCTCTCCAGTCTCTTCCTTTGTCAGTGTTTTAAATAAGCAGTTTGGCATATTATCTGAAGGAGACAAAAGACTGGATGGTTGCTATAGAAGTGCTACCGATACCTTCTAAAGGTTTCGCACGACCCAGATTTAGCTGTTCTTGGGGAAATGGTATCTGCTGGTTACACCAAGCTTTTCCAGACATTTAGTCTAACACAAAAGCTTTCTATATCATCATCTCATTTCCTCTCCTTTCTTTTGTTCCTACTTCTTATGCCTTTTATTTCCTTTTTCAAGAAGGCCATATGAGCAATAGGAAAATGTTCATTTTGTAATTTAGCCCTGACATGGGTAGTATTTAAGCTGTCAGAGTCCTTGCTTGAGGGCATGTTTTGCCTCCTCGCTGGGGTATGCACTGCCATTTTTCAGCTTTTCTTAAAAGAGGGAGGGCGTGTTGTCTATATGCAGCACCTTTATCTTCTGTGTGTATGTATGTACATGCGTGTGTGTGTAACTGTTTATATGTGCACATGCATGTGAAGGCTGGATGTTCACATCAGGTGTCTTCTATCACTCTTCACCTTATTTTTTTTTAATTGTTTATTTTGTATGGGAGGGTACCTGTGGGAGTAGTCAGTTCTCTCCTCCGATGTGGGTTCTGGGACTCAAACTCAGGTTGTTAGACTTGTGCAACAAACATCTTCACCACTGA